CTAAGGAATCGTCGGGTAGAAACCTGGAATAAATGCTTAAAAAAAACCCTCCCGACAAATAAGAACCTTGTCGTGTTTAAAAGTGAAATAATAATAATAATAATAATTTTATTATTAAAGGAGGGGGATGGGGGGAAAGAAAACTAATCGATGGATTATAACCGAATTAATTTTCTCCTCCTTCCCCCCTTCGATATTTTTCGAAAACGACACCCCGTTTTTTTTTAATTTTACCCCAAATTAATTAATTAAATTAATCGATACATAATTAGAGATAAAAACGGAAACGGAAACGGAAATCGAAAAATTTTTTATACAAATCAACAAAAAAATTTTCCCTCATGGATTTCATTAAAATTTCCACGCACAACAACAGATTTTTTTTTTTTTTTTTAAAATTACGTAATAAATTATGGATTTGTTAATATATAATTATTATTAAAAAAAAAAAAAAAAAAAAAAAAGAAATTAAATATTACGTTACCGTAAATAAATATTTACATTACCTAATCATATCCAAATAATTGACATAACGTCCCGTCTTACGATATTTCACTATACGAAAATTATTATTATTATTTAAATTTTACTCACGCACACGCACACGCACACGCTAAATACTATTAAAAAAAGGAAAAAATATTAATAATTATTATTATTATTATTGGGGGGAAAAAAAAAAAAATAAGAAAATTAATTGTAGGCGGTTTCGTCATCGATTTGAATTTAACTGATTTGCTATTTTGTATTGATCCGTCGGCGGATTATTTAGCTGACATAATAAATGCACGTACGTATAGAAAAAAATAAAAAAAATAATATCCCTGACTCATTTTTTTTTACATATAAACGACTTTAATAAATAAATACATAAATAAATTTATTAAAAAAAATTATTAAAAATAAAAAACGATTTGAAATAAATAAAAATAAATAAATAAATAAGAAGAAAGCGGAGACATTTTTCTCTGATGGAAATCTTTAATAATTAATTAAAACACCCCAAAAAAAATTATTATTATTATTATTATTATTAGTCGAGTTATTAATTAATAAGTATGGACAATCATTTATGTATTATTATTATTATTATTATCGGGAAAAGTGTGTAAAAAAAAAAAAAAAAAAAAAATAAGAAAAATTAAACATTACCTTAACGAACATTTTTTCGATCCTTTAAATAGAAAATATTTTTTATAAATTCACTTATTAAGTTTATTTTAATAATAATAATAATAATAATAATAATTATGTATATCTATTAACGTTTCAGTCAAAAAAAAAAAATTGGTTGTTGTTGTTGTTGTTGTTGTTCACGTGAAAAACCGAAACCGAGAAAAAAAAAAAAAAAAAAAAAAAAAACACCATCATATAATTAATTAACTAAAATACATTATTGATATTAATAAAACAAACAAACAAACAAACGAACAAACGGAAAAAAATAATGAAAAATTATTATTATTATTATTATTATTATTTTCGAAACCCGGTAAACGATTATTCAATTTAATAAAAAAAAAAAAACAATAAAATAATTTGATTAAACGATTGTAAACTCAGATACAAACTAAGAAAAGAAACAAACAACGAATTATGTTAAACGAAGAAAGAAAAAGAGAGAAAGAAAGAAATAATAATAATAATAAAAAGAAGAAAGAAAGAAAGAAAGAAAGAAAGAAAGAGAAAAAAAAAAGGGAATTGTAAAATATGTTTTTAAGAGGGAGAGAGAGAGAGAGAGAGAGAAGGAGAAAAGGAGAAAGAAAGAGAGAAAGAGAGAGAGAGAGAGAAGGAATATATCACACCGTGTCCGGTTGTAACAAAAAAAAAAAAAAAAAGCAACGTGACTCCACCTCTTGCTAACAGCAATTCGCGGTTACATTGCGCAACAGCAAAATCACAAACCGGAAAAAGTTTCTCATTGGCTATCGTTAATACGTTATTGACAAACAAACCCCGTTTAACATTATTATTATTATTATTATTTATTTTACGTTCGTTCGTTTTCGTCGCGATTTTTTTTTTTTATTTTATTCCCGTCTCCCCATCGTTTTAAAATTTTGTTTTCGTTTTGCGTTTAATTACGGTTTTTAAGGGGAGTAAAAATTAATAAACTTTTTGTACGCCATATGTAATTAACGTACCTGAATTAATAACGACCCACCTCCTCTTCCTCCTCCTTCCCCACCTTATATTTTACACATTTCTTATCATTTCGATAATTTTATTACGAAAATGATTTTTTAATAACTTTTTTTTTTTTTTTTTTTCTCTCCTTCATTTTTTTTTTTTTTCTTACACTTCTTTCGTACTTATTTCTCGATATTATTATTAATTAATAAATAAATTATTTATTATTATTATTATTATCACACGACAAGGTTCTTATTTGTCAACGGTTTTTAAGTTTATTTATTCCAGGTTTCTACCCGACGATTCCTTAGGGATAAATTCTCGAATTTCGTTTGTGCTTCTGCTTTCGAAAAATGTGGGCCGTTCCTGGATGGTTTCCTCTTCTTTTAGGTTCTTCAAAATTATTATTATTATTATTATTATTATTATTTGAAATTATTTTACGCGGTTTTTTATATATATATCTATACGTAGATAGTCGTTTTTTTATCATTATTATTATTTATATTATCATTCGTGTCTCCTATATATTTGAGGTTTTGAATCGATTCAATCATTCAATCATTCATTCATTCATTCGTTACCGAGGGAACCAATTCTAATTCGGATTTAATATTATTATTATTAGTTATTTATTATTTGCATTTTGTTTTTTTTTTTTTGTTTAACGTAACGAAATTATGCGTTTTGTCGCGGATTTAAGTTTTTAATTTTTAAAATCTCATTTTCGTACGTTTTGATTATATCCGTTTATTATTATTATTATTATTATTATTATTATTATCAATCACGACACGTTTTATAGTGTAACGACGGAGTTTTTCAGTCTTAATTTTAAATTTTCCTTTAACACGATTATTTAGGGATAAATACAGGAGAAAAATATGGCGGCGGTGGTGATATTCATAAAATTTTTTTTTAAAAATATGTGTGTTGACTTCCGGTTAACATCGTCAAATATTTTTTCCCTTTTTTTTCTATTTATGTAAATTTTAGTTTTTTCAATTAATTTAATTAAAAATTTTTTACAAAACTCAAAGGAAAATTTCAATTCAAAATTTTTTTTCCTCAATTTTTTTTTTTTTTTCACGCATTAACCTACGCATTCATATTGAATTACAATACAATTACGATTTACACACAATATATACGTTATTTATTTATTTATTTATTTTTTTTTAGTTATTTGATTTACGTAAAAAAAAAAAAAAAAACTATTAATTAAATACTAATATAATATTAATATACTAATATAATAATAATTTTTTTATTAACCGGGTAATTATTAAAATTATTAATTATTAACACGAGAATTTGGATATGAAACCCTAAAAAAATTATTATTATTATTATTATTATTATTATTATTATTATTAATTTAAAAAAAAAAAAAACGTGTTTCCATTTGTATTTAAATCAAAATAATTATTATTAAAAAATAAAAAATAAAAAAAGCGACGGAAAACAAAAATATTCTTTTTTA